CATCAATAAGTGCCGTTTAAAATAATTGGTAAACGGTTTACTTTATGGAAAAAGGGTCAAATGTATTTTTCCTTTGTTTTTTTTGTTTGCATAGAGTTTACATAGATTTTAATTCTTTTAAATAGAATGCTGTATTTTTGTTTCGCACATAATGAAATATCGCAAAGAAACGAATACGACCTATATTCGTGACAATCGTATTTTCTTCTCTCAAATGGTTAATCAATATCACTCTATAAGGAGGATGTAAAAAAGTGTCTCTGGCATATGCATACATTCCTAGTAGAATAATTAACGATATAAATAAAATGTATAAAAACAAATAAAAATAATTTACGCTAAACATTTCAATTTACATGTTCTCATCTCTTTCAATCCTTCTTTTTTCATACCAAAACTGTTTCCGGTACGATATTGTTCATCTGAATTCAATACAATCCACAGTTTACAGCCAATTTGAATATAAATTATTCGGTTGTAAATACCCATCTGCAAGAAAAAATGTATAAAACAATTCTTCAACTACAATTTAAATCTTTGCGCTACGTACACTTACGCTTATTGCCTCCAAATAATTTTCGGCACTCGTAGTTGAAATGAAGTATACAGGATATTCGCTTCATGCTGACGTGTCTATTTTTCGTGAACCGTCGGTAACGCAGATACAGGAAATGATAAGGGTGTTCAAGGTGCCCCCAAAGCTAAGACAAAAAGGTCCATAACATGTTATTGATCACCTCTATTAAATTCGTTACGTATACAGGTTGAAATGTGAAATTAAAACTGTTACGTAGCTGTTAATACGCACACCCTATTATTCTATGATTGTTATTAATTGGTGAATTTAAGTTTTCACTAACGGAATATGTATTGCCGGCATGTAAAAATATGGCTCTCTTTGGTGTTTGGACGAAAATGGCGACTAAGAAACGAGAGAACCAACGTAAACGAAAGTTTCGGGAAAATGGAAGTGATTCAGATGGAGATACTGAAAGTGAGTATTTATAATTACAGTTATTATCAGTTACATATGTTTTCCAACTTATAACATTCCTTGTAAGCCGAAATCACGGGGTTAGAATTCATTGTTTACATAGTTCTAATTTGAGGTTAAGTCAGTTTTAAATTGATTATTATATTGAATTTACTTAATAACTTTAGGATTATTATTATATAATATATGTTATACAAGAACTACTCTAACTCAGAGTGATCTTAGATGAAAGAATTGCATTTTTATATATAAATATGTATTACCAATTACTAACCTGCAAACAGATTAAGTTATAAATTTATTAATTTCTTTTTATTGTAGAAAGTATTAAATTCATGAAAGGAAATTCGGAAGCACCACGATTGTGTCCTTATCTAGACACGATAAATCGCCAATTTTTAGATTTCGATTTTGAAAAGTTATGTTCTGTATCATTATCCAGGATTAATGTATACGCTTGTTTAGTTTGTGGAAAGTATTTTCAAGGTAGAGGTACTAATACTCATGCATATACACATAGTGTGGCAGAAAGTCATCACGTATTTCTTAATCTGCATACTTTAAAATTTTATTGTTTACCTGACAATTATGAAATAATTGGTAAGTTAATTCTCTTATTACCTTATGAATTAATCGAAAGATATGCCAATATCAAATAATACACAATTCTTATCTAGATTCATCATTAGATGACATAAAATATGTTTTAAATCCAACATTTGATAAAGCGCAGATTGCTCAGTTGGATAAAAGTGATAAATTATCGAGAGCTATAGATGGGTCCTTATATTCCCCAGGTATTGTGGGGATGAATAATATAAAAGCAAATGATTACTGCAATGTTATTCTACAAGTGAGTTTTACTTATATATATATAACTTTCATAATTCATAATGATAGAAAAACAAAAATTATGTTATTTAGGCACTTTCTCACGTCACACCTCTAAGGGATTTCTTTTTAAGAGAATCTAACTATTCTCATGTAAAAAGACCACCAGGTGATTCTTCCTACCTTTTAGTTCAACGATTTGGAGAACTAATGAGAAAACTATGGAATCCGCGTAATTTTAAAGCACACGTCAGTCCACATGAAATGTTACAAGCTGTTGTTTTGTGGAGTAAAAAAAGATTTCAGTTTACAGAACAGGGTATGTAATTTAATATCTTGATGTAAAAATGTTTATAAATACATTTAATCCTATAGATTAAATTGAATTTTTAGGTGATCCTATTGATTTTCTATCATGGTTTCTAAATGCTTTGCACTTAGCATTGAATGGCACAAAGAAACGTGATTCTAGTATAGTATACAAAACATTTTTGGGACATATGCGTATATATACTCGAAAAATCCCACCGCTTGAATTAGATGAGAATCAAAGGAGCGAATTACTTCATACCGTAGAATATGGTGAAACTGTAACAGAGAGTCCGTTTTTATATTTAACGTGTGATTTACCTCCCCCTCCGCTTTTTAAAGACCAATTTACTGAAAATATAATACCCCAGGTAAGTATGTAAGTATGCGCACATGAAATGTATATGTACATCAAAATCTACATCTCTTTCATTTTGGTAGGTAAATTTGTATACACTACTGAATAAGTTTAATGCAGTAACTGAAAAAGAGTACAAGACTTATAAGGAGAATTTTATGAAAAGATTTGAAATTACGGAACTTCCTCCTTATTTAATACTTTATATAAAAGTAGGTATTATTTTAATATAACAGATTGTAAAATTAATCGCTATGCTAACATTAATATTTCCTTTCAGAGATTTACAAAAAATACGTTTTTCGTAGAAAAGAATCCTACTATAGTAAATTTCCCAGTTAAGTAAGTCTTCGTAACATCTTTTATATATATATATATATATACGTGAGAAATAATACATGGTGCCAATTTTTATGTATGCATTACTTTCAGGAATGTAGATTTTGGAGATATTTTAACACCTGAAGTAAAACAGAGACATCCTTGTACAACATATGACCTAGTCGCAAATATAGTTCATGACGGTGAGCCTGGTCAAGGAACATACAGAGTTCACATTTTACACAGAGCAACTGGTCAATGGTATGAATTACAAGACCTACATGTAACTCAAATTCTGCCACAAATGATTACATTGACTGAGGCTTATATCCAGGTAAAGTTTTATAGTCATAAATGTTCATGTAAATACTATTAAAGCGATATATTTTTTACTAAATATACATCTTTTCAGATATACGAATTGAAGAAAGACGTAAACATCGAAAATGGTGAAATTAAAAGTAAGAAATCTATATGATAGATACAATTTTTTAAATAAATTGTTTCAATTTTTCACCTTGCATTTTTATTGATATCAAATATCAACTATGTAAACCGTACCACATAACAGCAAACACTACCCAAACATTTCACTTTAAATTTTCGTAGAACTCTTGTATTACAAAATACACATAATAATTACTTATTGCACTTTAAGTTGTTTATATTTTGAAGATGCTTTTAAAATTCATTTCACTTATTGTAATTGTTTTTAACAGTTAATTATGTAAAAATGTTCGTATATGCGCTAGGCATTTAAAATTATTTATACACATATTTACAGTTTAATGACTTATAGGTTATTCTACGTATGTGTTAGATGTTATAACAAATTTTGGTCCTTTTTATATAGTTGAAAAATTCAACTTTTTGCATA